CCTGAAGACTTAGGGAGGGGGGGTGGATCCAGGAGAGGGTGGGGTTTGGGGAGGGGCCTCAGCATGGTACAATGTCATAGAATCCACCCTTCAAAGCAGCCATTTTTTCCAGGGGAGCTGATCTCTGTCGGCTGGAGATCAGTTGTAAAAGCAGGAGATCTCCAGGCCCCACCTGGAGGCTGGCAACCCGGCCAGCAGCACACTTTCGGGTGGAAGGAGGCGGAAAAACCTTCCTCCTTAAAAAGGCGGAAAGAAGTCACTTAAATTCCGAGTCGAAGACTGCGGTCCTTAATTTCTTAATTTAGGAACCGACACAAATAGGCATTACTTCCAGGTCACTAAGTGTAGAGACAGGTGGAGGAGCACTTTCAAAGACAACCCAAGAACCTGAGTGGGACTTGATCCCAATTATTTGCATTTGAGAGCAGGCTATGGGATTTTTTCGTATACATATCTGTGCCTGGAAGCACTAAATGCCGAATCCTAAAAAGTGTACTCGCCCATCAGTTAGGAGCCGGACCACTGGGCAAAACGTTTCTTTCTTCTGTCTTGGAAACCTCTTTCCTCCACCGTCTTAAGAAGAAATGCTGAGCGTACGGAGTCTGAAGAGTTAAAGTCTGTTGCTTGTTGCAATGAAATTATGGCTGGCAGTGGCGCCGCTGTTTGTTCAACAGACCTCCACTTTTAAACAGTTCACAAAAAGTTCATCAGGGCGGTGGCGATTATAAATAACGTATGTATGCGTCCCACTGCTAAGCACGACCCTGAAAACGAGCTGAAACTAGCAAACATGCCGCCCCACCCACCTTTCCGAAAAGCTCTTGCTGATCAGACTGCTCTGCTGTAGCGTGCAAGCGTTTTTTGCACAGTCACTGAGAACCGGCTCGGCCACTGCACACGCTCAACTGCTCTCTTCTCGGAGTCTCCCCAAGAGTCTCTTGCTTCTAACTCGCCGTGTCCCCCTTCCTCTTTCGCCTTGTGTCACCGGAGTGCAGCCGAAATTCTCAAAAGAGTATTTTGCAACCTCAACAACACACCCGCCTTTCCATGCCTCGAGCAGGGCCTCTCTGTGCAAACACCTTTGCCCGAGGCAAGTTTCGCGGAGCTGAATAGCAAAGAGAGATGCTTGTCTTGCAATAGACTGCAATATAATTTTCTCCCCCCCCATGTTTTCTTTGGGGGGGGGGAGCAGGGGGTATTGGAGCACTGGGTGCTGACTGTCATATCTGTGACAATTGTTGTGCAATCTGCCTTTGACCTTTCTTTCATTCCAACTTACAAATCTTTAAATTCAAAGTGTAGGTTCACTTGCTTCGCACTCTCAAAAGTGAGTCCCTTCAGGCGAACCATCAAGTACCATTTGGAATTTTCGCTCTGAAGTATTTCATTTTTTTGCAAAGACACATGAGCTGATGCCAAGGATACACTTCCACCGAGGGAACCAGAAGAATTGTCACGTTCCCGTAATCAAGATCCCGGACGTGTTTTCCGCTTTACAAGGGGGAGGGGAGGAGCAGGAGCGGTGCCCCCTCCCTTCGAACAGCCCTATCTATTTGGACTTTGTGTCCACTCCATTCCTTACAGATGAGGCAGCGTACTGGGCGGCTACTAACTGTATGTAAAACTCTAAATCACTCTCTCCAGGCTGCGGCTGCTCCATTTGAAAACATTACGAGCCGTGCATCTGGAAAACAGTAAATCTGTTCCGCAAAACCCGTCTTTCCAGTAGAATAACCCCTTTTGAATGATAGTGCAATATTTCCTCCCAGTCTCTAAAGATATTGGGGGGGGGGAGATATGAAAGTAAGGAAAGGGTGCAGTTTCGATTCCTCACAGCAATTTGGGCAGACTCCATAATTACTAGACGTCAGCTACTGCGGAGGGAGGGAGGGAGGGGAATATGCCATTTCCTTAATATACTTTTGTTCCATGCGTGGGGTTGTACACAAAAGGCTTCTTTAAGAATCTGGGAGGCGGGGAGGGGGGCGCGAAGACACAGAGATGCTTGAGAGAACACAGGACTTCCTTCACGTTTAATTCTGAAGACTCTGATCATGCGAGAAGCATTGTGTGTAAAACAATCTGGAATTTCCTTCTCTCCATTAATACATTAAAAAGGTTAATTATTTGCATATTTCGAAGCCTGAAACCCGGCAAGTTAGGGGGCTTTTATTAGAAAGGCCTGTGTGTGTACTCTATGGCCTTTCTTGTAACAAAGCCAACCAGGCAAAAATTGCAATGTCCGTACCATTTACTCTCCGGTAGTACCACTGAAGATAGTCAAAGGAGAGAAGGGTTGGCAGTCAGTAGTGGGGACTTTGAAAGCCAATTTATTCCAGTGAGACTCGATTCTAAGTCTGCCTACTATTCTCCTGATTATTTGGGAGTAAGTCTCATTGAATTTCCCTACAGGGGTGTTTGTGCGCAGCAGAATCCTAAAAAGCATTTTCCTCATAAGTAGGTACAGTTTGTGTAATGTGATTCACTCATTAGTAAGTTTGTTTAGGATTAAAGCTGTAATGTGTCTAGTAATATAACTTCTACCATTAGGGAAGGATTGTGTGTGTGCGTGTGTAAGCGTCCGCGAGTGTCATTGGGGGGGGGTGTAAGAGGAAGAACTGAAGGAGTATCCTGTGCATTAAAGGCTCCCCCTACTTATTAACCCAGCATTTAACAGCGGGATGCAGGCTGAAGCTCAGTCAAAAGAAACGACTGAACCTCCAAAGAGCAATTAAAATCCAGCACTGGAATAAATCATGCGCCGCGATAATCGTGTTAATAAAACGCAGCTTGTCCTGACACTTCACTCATGCAGCAAACTAGAATTTAATGCGGGTGGAGATGGCGCGTTCGGGAGGGAATAAAGGCAGGCGAGGCATTCCCCCCTTCTGTTGCTGGACCCGAAAATCCGGTTGCCTTTCACCTGCCTTCCCCGCTGCACACAGCGCCGATCCTTTCGGACTGCTAATGCTTCTCCAGTGAGCCCGCTAATGATTTCTTTCCCTGGAGTGAGCAGGCGTCATTGAATTACTCAAAGCACTCAAAGCAGCAGCACAGCAACAACAGCGCCAATGGTAAAAGCCACCGGGGTTTGGTTACTTAATCAAATCAGGGGGTGGGGGGAGCTCACCAACCTCCTTCCTATATTTAACCCTTCTATGTGCTGGGATGCCAACTTTTACTCTGGGTGAATTTTTTTTTAAAATCACTAACTCTTGCTTATCAGTGAGTTCCCCCCACTTATTCAGGGGAGAAGGGTAGAAACTTTTTTTAATCTGATATTTCATTTTTTAAAAAATGCCTCTTAGTTCTATTTATTTCTCAAATTTCTACCCTGCCCTCCCAGCCAAGGCCTGCTCAGATGTTGTAATCATAGGTCATATTTTAAGTCTTGGAAGAAACTCCTGTGACATTTTCTGTTGCATTTTGGATTTCTCTCCAGTAGGTTATCTTTTGTAATTCTGTACACATCCAGTTTGTGGTAAGCAGTTTTAAGGTCCACTGGTATCAGGGGGAGAACTAATCATGTGCTTATCTCTTCTGCTGAGAACAGTATCAGTGGGCCTTACAGGTCCTTAACATTAGCTGTTATCATACCCTTTTCTGTGGATTTCAAGTTTCCTGAAACTTAATTTGTGCAATCCAGCAAGTAGGGTTGCCAGGTCTGGGTTGGAAAATACTTGTAGACTTTGGGGGTGGATCCAGGAGAGGGCAGGGTTTGGGGAGGGGCCTCTGCATTGTACAAGGCCATAGAGTCCACCCTTCAAAGCAGCCATTTTCTCCAGGGGAGTTGATCTGTCAGCTGGAGACCAGTTGTAGACGCGGGAGATCTCCAGGCCCCACTTGGAGGTTGGCAACCCTACAAGCAAGATTTGGTCCTATTCATTTTGTTGGGTCAGAAGTATCTTTTCCTGAATTGCACCCGCTGTATTCAGGATGGTGTGTTATGCTGTTTGGCACAGAAAAAAGCCCACTAGTGTCAGAAACTGCAAAGATGATTTCTTTCTGTTTACCAAGGTGCATATACATACACACATATATATACATACACACACATATATACATATATACATACATATATATATATACATATATATATATATATATACACATACATACACACACACATACATACACACATATACATGTGTGTGTGTGTGTATATATATACACACACACACACATATATATATACACACACATGTATACTTGTATATACACACACACACACAGCATTTCCCAGCTGAAGTTGAGCAGTTTTACATCACACTGATTTCAAAGGAAGTGTATTATGTTGGTTCTAGGTTTGTAACAAGGCCTTTGAAATCAAAGGGATGTAAAAGTGTTTCACTTAGGCTGCTTCTGTTTTTCTAACGTTTTTCTTTCATCTTGTATGGTTTTATTGTTTTGATTTTAAACATGATTTGTTGTATGAACAACTGGACAGATAGTAGGTTAAATGTACCAATTATTATTGGTTGGAATGCCTTCCATTAGTATTTGAGTACTGAAGTCCTAGTACTACTAAGCTCTAGTACAAAAGTACTGATGGCATTGTACATTGGTGACACTATTAATCAATCTTATGACAGTGCGAAAAAGTACTTATTTGCGGAGTAAGGCACTGGATGAATCTCTATGGTGTCCTGTGATTTATTTGTGTAAATCAGGTGGTTTTGTTAACAGATATAGAATCATTTCTATTTCTAATGAAGTTGAGAAAAAAACTAAACATAAGATTTGTCAATAGTATGGAATGAGCCTTAATTTTCAAGATGTGCAATAGGGAAAAGGTTTCTCTTGTTTGACCCATAAATGCCCTCAATTTGCTTCTTTTATTGCATGGTCTCTCATTCACTGTTTTAACTAGGCCGCACTCACCCTGTACCAATCCTGCATTCAGTATTAATTATCCTATGGGAGGATGGCCACCTAATTGTTTTTGCACTTCCTCCTAGGCTGGTCTTTGGAACTCATTCTTTCTTTCTTTTTTTCAATAGACTATAAATACGTGTGAAGAAGGGTCTCCATTCTAAGGTGACGTCATGCTTTCTGCAACTCCCCTGTATGGCAATGTTCATAGCTGGATGAGCAATGAAAGGGTCCGCATGTGTGGGATTAATGAAGACAGGTAAATAGTTAATCTTCTGGGGAGTTAAAGTCTGTTGTGTTTCTGTGGTGTGGGGTTTTTAGAGTTGATTTTCTTTCCTATTTCCCTGCCTTCTGGGAAGTAAAGGGTTTTTATGAGAAAATGTGATGTAGGGGGAGGAAGGACTGAAATGTGATGGCTGTGGACTACCTCCTGATGTAATGTTTTGATGGACACGATGATGACCAGGAAAGCAGAATGGATCTTGTAAAAACTAAATAGCCCCCAAAGCTGCCACCCTCGTATAAACACACATACTCCAGACCCTAGGTTCCTTGTTTGGAAATATATCGCTTGGGCTTTAATGAAATTTTAGCTCAAAAAAAGAACATGGCCATAGGTTATTATTTTATACATAAAAATAAAATCTGGATTTATGTTCCTTTTGAATGAGTGACTGTCTTTATGAAATGGTCTCCAAATTAAAACGTTGTTTGCTCAGTAACTAAATACTTTGTATAACTTTTAACTAGCATACTTATAAGAGTTTGCCTTAGTTCAGAGAAAGTTGGTCATACTTCAGATTCATTGAAGACCATGGCCCTTTTCACATTACCGTTCTAAACCAGATGTTATTCATTGTTGGCCTGATTTTGAGTAAAGGGATACAGGGATGGGGGTTTCATACAGCAAATTGCCTTCCATTAATGAGCCGTCTCTGAAGTGCTACGGTCATTTAAAACAATGCTGCTTCTCCCCCACCCTTTTTTGCCATGTGATCTTCCTCTGACTTGGCACCGTATAGAACATTAAAAAAAGTCTGAGGAAGATCACGCGGCAAAAAAGGACGGGGAGAAAAGTGGCATTGTAGGAAGCGCTATGGACATTTTAAAACGGCACACCACAGTGATTCAGAGGTGCATTGAAGGGGTTGAAAATGGAAAAAAGCAGTTTCCCTCAAAAGTGGCTCAACCGCACTTTGCTAACCTGACACAAGTGGATTTGTGTGAACAGGTAAATACATTCCACTAGCAGCTGGTTACTAAAACAGGTCTGTCTGAAATGACAGAAGAAATCCATTTGCAACCAGTTACTAAATCAGAATACAAAGACAGTCTGACAAGGGTCCATGAGATTGTGACTAAGTTAATTCTCATTTATTTGAGTAAGATGATCATAATTCACATTATACGGATCTAGGGCTTTGATAAGTAGACATATCAGTGCATACATAGCTGTGCATTTGTTCATGTTCTGGGTTTTTCTGACCTGCTTTGGAACAGAATTTATGAGATGTTTGTACCTAAGGTGGGCTTTGGAAAAGTGTGGCTGGAATTGTGTAGATCTCCAGACTCCCATCATGCAGTGCCGTTTTTCCTTCGGCCGACCCCCCACCCCCCATTGCTGGTGGGCTTTTTGCTGCTTTTGTATTTTGCTGTTTTCAGTATATTTACTTTTTTAAAACATTTTTATGCCAGCTTTCCAGTCAATCAGGGTCCCGAAGGCAGTGTACATAAAAACATAAAAATATTTCAACAATAAAAACAGCATTAAAATTATAAAAAAGTTCAATGAAAGCACATAAACAAACAATACCAGAACCAGGGAGGAGGGCCAATAACTACTGGGGGTGTGCTAAACAAAACAACAACGTTTTCATCTGCCAGTGGAAGACACCAGTAGAGGGAGACAGATTAATCTCTGTGGGGTGGAAGTTTTGAAGTTTTGATGCTATAACTGAGAAAGCCCTTTCTTGGGTCACCACCTATCTAGCCTCAGATGGCGATGGAAACTGTAGCAGCGCCTTCGATGACGACTAGAATGAATGGGTAGAGCCCTGACCTGGATAGCCCAGGCAAGCCTGATCTCGTCAGATCTCGGAAGCTAAGCTGGGTCGACTCTGGCAAGTACTTGGATAGGAGACCTCCTTGAACTATCAGAGGCGGGGACAGGCTTTATTCAGCTACCTCTCTAAATATCTTCCAGGCCCCCAATAGGGGTCAGTCACCAGAGGTCACCATGACTTCCAGGTACACAGGTAGACAGTCAGATGAGGTCGCCATGACTTCCAGGTTCATTCATTCATTCATTCATTCATTCGTTTGTTTGTTCATTCTCTCTCTCTCTCTCACACACACGCGTGCGCGCACACACACACATAAAAAAACACAGAGCTGGCTCACCAGCCAAAGCTGCTGAAAGGCACCCCTGACCACCGCTGCTACCTGTTTATCAACAGGAGGCCTGTGTTCAGGAGCACTCCCAGCTGTGAACCTGCTCCCATTCAGAACAGGGAATAACCCATTTCCCACATCAGACCTTCCATTTTGTCAGGATTAAATTTCAGCTTGTTAGCCCTCTAACTTTCTACTGATAACTACCCCCACAAGAAAAGTCCTCCAGAGGCAGGAAGGGGGAAATGATTGACAGAAGCCAAAACAGTGCTTGATGTGGCATTGGAGGTTCAGAAAGTGAGTGAATGCACAACGCTGTGTGGATTGATATTCCTTTGCATTCACATTGGCAATGAGAAAAATGGAGATTTTCCCTCTGTGTGGAAGCAACCTGTGAGAAAATGGAGTCACGGATGTAGTCCTTCCCTAGTCTCTTTCATAAGTTTCTCAGTTGGGTTATTTGAAAACAGCACTCAGAAAGGGATGTGTGTGTTGATACCCAGGTCCCGGTCACACGGGAGGATTTGCCCCGCAAGAGGGACGGATCGGGGATGCATCAAGCGAGCGCGATTACACTGCAACATCTGGGAAGTGTCACGCACCCATCCCCGATTCGGCCCTTTGGCCCAAAGAAGCGCATTTAAAAGGTACTACCTTTTGAGCACTACCTTCCAGATGATGTGCGACTACTCCAGGCGTCTGGTCGGGGAAGCGCTGGTAGCCCATCACAGCCAGCGCCGTTCCCCGTCCCACACATGTGCACAACTGCGCTACTACCGGTTTGCTGCACAACGTGTGATCGGCTGCCGGAGCACGGAGCCGTGGGGGCATGTTGGATCGCGCTCCCGCGGTTCTTTTTGCTCCGGCTCTAATTTGCCTCCCTTTGGCAGCGGATCATCCCACTCGTGTGACTGGGACCCCAGTTGAACAGGCATTCATTCTAGCAAGATAACCCATTGTTATCAAAGGCAAAAGACAAGAAATACATACAAGCCATATGCTGTCTCTGTCTTTTTTTGACCAGTTGCATCCTGCTGTTTTGCCCATTAGCTTGGGCAAAAAGTGGATGTTGCTTTTACCTTAAAAAGTGGGAGCTCCACTTTTTAAGTACCATAGAGTAGAACTGGTCCTTCTGGGTAATGATGAAACTTTCCTTCTGCTGCATGGCAGCCATTATGTCCCTGGGATTTGAAAGTTGGCACTAAGGTGCATTCTTTATTGGTGTTTTCTGTGATAACAAGTCCCTGAGCTGCAACACTCATATGTGCGGCTCCTTCTTCAGCATCAAACAGCTGACATTTATATGATATTGCCATTATTAATTTTCCTCCCAACATTTTTATATAAATGGTGCATAGAAGGTGTACTAATAGGCTTGATTGTTCTGAAGAGTCAAGAGTACTTAGCATTAGATAATCTTGCTTTAGGACAAAGTTTTGGAATGCAACTAATGGGTAATAACATTAAAATTTCTTTACATCAGATCTGCTGTCCAGTAATGTATTGCTGCTTAAAAATGATCATTTCTTATGTAGCAGCACACTGATGAAAATAATGTAACTAATATTTTTGTAGGCAAATCAAACTGTACAATCCCTAATAACAATATTTGTTAGATTTATAAAGAAATGTTAAATATCTCTTAAACATAGGAAAATCCCAGTTAATGACGGAGATGCCTCGAAAAGCAGACTGGAATTAAGGGAAGAAAATCACCTGAACCACAGTGTGGTAAGAAATTGATAGTTCAGTTTGACAATAACATGCTTTCACTAAGATAGAATCAAGTGGGTAGCTGCGTTGGTCTGAGGCAGCAGAACAAAGTGTGAGTCCAGTGGCACCTTTAAGACCAACAAAGTTTTATTCAGGGTATAACCTTCCATGTGCACGCACACTTCTTCGGATACAGTGAAATGGAAGTCACCAGTCCCTACATATAGGTAGAGGGCGGGCAGCAAATTGACATACAGAATAATGAATATATTTAACAGATGCAAGGTGCCACTGGACTCAAACTTTGCTATGCTTTCACTAAGTTTTAGTATTATGTCTTCAGTTTCAAATAATGATTCAAAAACTTTTAAGTACAATTGAGTCTAATAAAAGCTTTAGTCGTTGATGTCTTTCTCCAAGTTAGTAGGGTTGCATTGCATTCTTTCATGGCATGGTTAAAGTCTTCCTACTTGTTTTTATTTATAGTATGTCTCTGAACTACTTGTAGTTTGTTATATATATATTATCAGCAATATTTGTGCTAAATAACGTTTTGTAGCATATTTTAGTTATGGTCCCCAAACAAATGAATTCTGAAGGTCTCAGCAGTTGCCTGACAGCCTATAGCCTCGGGCTGGTAGGGTACAGCTGTCTGAGAGCCCCTGATCTAGTTCTAGTGCCTGGATGAGAGGCTGTCCAGGAACCTCCATGTATTCCACACTAAACTCATTGGAAGAAGGGTGGGATGTAAGTGTGACAACTAGAAATGTTAAGGCCCGGAAAAAAAACGGAAAACTTTGGAAAAAAACTTTTCCCCCCCTGAAGCCTTTTTTGGAACAATATATTTTAACATGATGAATAAAATATTTTAAGACAAGGTGTTCAAATATTTTCCAAATCATTTTTTTAAAATATGTATGGTATCAGATTGATCTAATTTCTGTGCACTGAGGACAAGCAAGTCCTAGGTTACAAACTGAACTCTCCAATGCAAGAATAAGATGCATTTCTTCCTTTAGGAGGTGCTATTGTCACAAGAAAAGAAAAAGGTTTCAGGGGTTTTTTTTGCATGTGGGTGGGCATTCTGTTTGTAATAATTGTTTGGATACACTATATTTTTAATATGCTAGTTGTGATAATTTCATGCCAAGTAAAAATGCCCATAGTCATATTTTATGTTCCTAAAGTAACAGAACTACTTTCAATCTGGAAAATAAAAAAGAAGTGCTAATGAAGAAATGCTAATATATTTTCCAAAAATTTCAGTTTCCCCCCGAAAAAAACTGGAAAAAACCTGGGTTTTTTTCTGAGCTTCAACATTTTCGGAAATTTTACATCTCTAGTGACAACATGGGGATGCAGTTTCCTAGACCTAGTTCCTATAAGGGGGTTGCAAAGAGGGAAGGGGAGTAAGAGTCTCCAGGATGATTACCCTTGGTGCCAGAAATTGGTTTTGCCCTCTCTTTCTCACTGTACTGTATAGTGGTGCTGAAGATCCTGTGCTGGCCATAATCTGAACCCTTAGGCAGAAAAACTGTGGGCTTCAACACCTCTGCCAAATTATAAGGCAGGGAGAAGGGAGGGATGGTAATGTGGCAGGCAGATGCACTGGAAGAGAAGAGTACGTGTAGGGCCCTAGTTTGGAGCTTGCTGAGCAGAGTGGGAGTTCCTCAAAGACTGCTGTCTTCCTAGTGCTTGAAAAGGGTGCTGGACCCTTGCTTGTCCCCGGAGTTGGGGTGCTCATATTCTGCCTGTTTTCTCTTGGCTTGCTAAGTTGAAAGGGATCTAGATGCCTATCTAGATGGTATTGAATTTTTTCCCCTATCTAATCTTATTTAATTTATTTTTTAAAACTGAGCTTGGCAGATGATAGACAGGCTCCTTAGACCCAAGTGTGACGCAGCCTGTAATTTTTACATGTTTGATTTATTTTATTCCTCTGCATTTTCCAGTTTAATCAGCCCACATTTGTTTTTAACAATGAAAAAGTATTTGCTTCATGCTTCCAGTCAGTTTTAAAAATGTAATTCTAGGCTTGAACAGTATTTTGATGAAATGCCAAAGTAACATCTTTCTTATTTTACAAAGGTGGATGCTACAGCAGTGCATCGTATTGACAGCCTTGCAGCACTGAGCATGGACCGGTCTGGAATTATGCGAGAAGGGCTTAGAGTCCCCAGCAGTATTGTCTATTCCAGTTTGTGCGGACTTGGCTCAGACAAGCCCCGGGATGCTACAAATGCTATTGCCGGTCTTGGATTTGCTCCTGAGAGAAATCCAGAGATACAGTTCAAGTCTAATCCCACGGAGGCAATAGAAAATGCAGCTGGAAAGCCCCCAAACGGCTTCAGCACTATATATAAAACACCACCTGGAATACAAAAGAGTTCTGTTGCAGCTGGGGAGACCCTAGGCTTGGACAGAAGCTCAAGCGACAAACAAAGTCCTCTCAATGTCAATGGTGCTAGTTACTTAAGGCTACCCTGGGTAAATCCTTACATGGAGGGTGCTATTTATCCTTTTCTTGAATCACCAAATAAGTATCCGTTGAACATGTATAAAGCCTTGCTACCTCAGCCATCCAGTTACAGCTTGCCACAGCATCTGGCTTACTCACCTGTATGTACAAACGGTGAACGTTTTTTATACTTGCCACCTTCTCATTATGTTGCTCCCCACATTCCATCATCATTAGCTTCACCAATGAGGATCTCAGCTGCGTCTGCATCTCAGGCAATTCCCCCTTTAGGGCACTGTTCAGAAAAAAGCTTGTCTTGGAAGATTGGAGTCAGTCCTGGGAATCCTGTTGACTCTCATGCCTATCCGCATATCCAGAACAGCAAACCACCCAGAGTCCCATCTGCGAAGCCAGCTGCTAGTAATATGCCGACAGACCCTGCTGTCCTGCTGCCTCATTCGCCAAGACTATCACCTAGAGTCCATCTCCCAACACAGGTTGGTGATGCCTACTCAGATTTCCACAAACACTTTTCCAGAATTTCAACGTCTCCTTCTTCAGTGACTCTCCCAAAGCCATACATGAATGTAAGCAATGAATTTCCTCCTTCAAGAGCCTCCAATGGAAAAGCTCCCAAAACTCAAGAGACAAGTGAAATTTCTCAACAATCTACCATACATGTGAGGAAAACAGGTCATGACAGAAAAGACGGCAGATCCCCTCCATTATTAGAAAAACAACAAACTGTCACCAAAGATGTTATAGACAAACCACTGGATTTGTCATCTAAAGTTGTTGATGCTGAGACAACCAAATCTGAGCATGTTAAGAAAATGGCACCAACTGTGTTAGTTCACAGGGCTGGTAGTGGGTTGGTTTTACCTGGAGGCGATCTTCCGAAAGAAACAATTTCTCCTGGGAATGGTTGTCCTATATATAGACCTGAAATAATCAGTACTGCACCTTCCTCCTGGGTTGTTCCTGGTCCAGGCCCCAATGAAGATAACACAGGGAAACACATACAGTTGAAAAACAAGGCATTAGACTGGGTGACGCCGCAACAGCGAAGTTCTTCATGCCCTAGAATGGGAGGCACAGAAGCTGTCATTAATAATATCTCAGGATCTGTGTCAAGTGGAGGCCGGCCAGCATCTGCTTCTCCAGCTCCAAATGCTAATGCAGAGTGCCCCAAGACTAACAGCTCTGTGGAAACCACTGCATCTGTTATACAGCATGTAGGACAACATGTAGCATCATCATCTTCTAAGCACGGTAATAAGAAATGCAACAATCAGGAACCCGTCTTTAAAGCAAATGAGAGCACCCTTGCATCAGGTTCCATATTTTTCCCTCCAAATGATTCATTCCGATCTCCACCGCTACCCTATCCAAGAAGCTATCTCCCATACCCAGTTCCAGAAGGCTTAGCTATAGGCCCTTTGTCTCTGCATGGTAAAGGACCTGTGTATCCTCACCCAGTTTTGTTACCCAGTAGCAGTCTTTTCCCTGGGCACCTGGCTCCCAAACCTACCATTCCGTACAGCCTGCCAACAAGCAGAGGTGAGTTTATGACCTATCAGGATGCACTAGGTATGGGAATGGTACCTCCAGTGTTGTTGCCACATACAACCTTGGAGATGAAGGATGAAAAATCAGAACGGAGATCTAGATCGCATGAACGGCTCCGTTATGAAGATCCTGCTTTAAGGAACAGAGTTCCAGAGATGCTGGAAACCAGCACAAAGCTACATTTTGAAGTACCTACAGACAGAAGTGTGAAATCCTATCAAAGTTTAAGTCATAGTAAAAATACTGCCAAAAGTGACAAGCACATATTTGCTGAACTCAGAGATGAGCAAGATACAAAAAATGAAATAAATTTAACAAAACCCAGTTTTCCTATTGAAAGCAGTAATCAGGCTAATGACCCTGCAAAGCACAAGGTGGACCCAGCATTTCAGCACAGAGATTTCATTGTAACTCGAGAAGAATGTGGAAGAAATAATTTCCATGAAGAGTACAACTTTAAACACACCCAGAGCCCACTCCCATCAATGTTCACATTAAGGAAAGAGGACCTTTCAGTGAGCCAAAACAGAGAGAGGTTAACGGTTCCTCCGTCCTCTTTGTACTTGGAGGCTGCTCATGGGAATGATGGCTTGGCTATGTCTTTTTGCAAGATGCCAGATGATGCTAAGCAGCTTTGTATGGAAAATGGTCAGTCAAGTATAGAAGTAAATCAGACATATGCCAAAGAGGGGACTGAGAGCACAGAATCTAATGATGGCAAGCTCCTGAAACCTAAGCCATCTAAACTGGCAAAGAGAATTGCAAACTCTGCTGGTTATGTAGGTGATCGATTTAAGTGTGTTACAACTGAACTGTATGCAGACTCTACTCAGCTCAGCCGAGAACAGCGGGCTCTGCAGGTGAGTCCGAGATTTAACTACAAAAGTATTTATTTTAATTATAAGGTTACAGTTGAGAATGAAATTTGATATATTACACAGGCTGGGGAATATATGTATGTACTACAATTTTAAGAGTATCTTGACACAAGTAGCAAAGGTAAACTTGCATATATTTGGGTTCAGTTATGAAGCCAGGGGTATTTGAACAGTACTAGATAATAATTATTATGTAATAGTCAGTATTCTACATTATTTAATCTTGTGAGCCTAGTGTACATCGTAGTAATGAAGGGGAGCTGAAGAATGCATGATATGGTTTAAATAGTGGTGGCCAGAGCCGGCCTGCATTTGGCTGGCACTGGGTAACTTACAGTTAATGGCACAGGTTGTGATTGACGTGCCAGAGATGACATTTTATAAAGAGGAGTAACAGTCATATATTAGTGGGTTAAATGCAACTTCTTTACCAAGCAAAAATGTAGCATGAAGGAGTAGAAGCTGTAGTGCATTCTGGGATGATGGCAAGTATTGTAGGATACTTTTGAGTTAAGCCAAATTGTTTTGCGTTGTTAAGAAAAGAATTAGTTGATGCTTATAAAAATGGATGAAATTATCTAAATGATCCATTGAGTGCCCATTTTAATTACATAGATGGAAGGATTACAAGAGGACAGTATTTTATGTCTACCTGCTGCTTACTGTGAGGTCAGTTCTTCAAATTTTTATTACTAGAATCTTGCATAAACCTTTGAGTTAAAATTTCATTTCCAAGTACACAAAGGGAAGTTGTGGGCCATGGTCGTCTTTTATTCATTGTGCAGTCTTTGTTTTTGTTTGTTATATCTCCCAAAAGACAATGCTTTTATTTTTTAAAAACTGTATGCAATATTCATTTATATATCAAAGAACTGTATATTTGTGTATAGAAAAAATGCCTTGAATATTGAACATGTGCTTTTTAAAAAACTTTTAATATAATTGTATGTGTATCAAATCTTGGTTTTGAGAAGATCTTTTCTTTTGGAAAAGGTAAGGTAAACGAAGTAGCTCTTATTGTGAGATTTTTTTTTCATATCAATTCTCTTTCTAGCGTGCAATGATGCGCTTCTCAGAGTTGGAGATGAAAGAGAGAGAAGGCCACATAGCAACCAAGGACCCGGAGGTCTGCAGATTCAACCAAGCAGACTGGGAAAACTTGAAAGGAAATAATGAAAAGAAGCCCAAGTCTGTCACTTTGGAAGATGCCATTCCTGGGCAAAATGACAATGATAGATGTAAGCAAATTTTTAGATGCTTTTTTGAAGTGTCTGAGTGCCTTCTGTAGGAGTTTGGAGCAAAACATGGTAGTGCCACAACATATAATTTAAAGCAGTTAAACCTACAAAAAAAGGTGAAAGCAATAAATTATTACTTTTGTACAACAGTAAGCAAAAACACATTTTTTACATAAAGTTTTTTTATGGGGTGGGAAGGGGAGATAGCCTACTGCCTGTTTTGTATATATATTTTACTACAAATACACACACACACACAAACAGAATGAACACATTGTATGCAGCTTTTTTGTGATTTAAAAAAATGTATGTGCCCTGGAGTAGCTTCTCTGAGAAAACTTTGGGCTAATGTCACAAACTGGTAAAAAAGGAAAATGAGAGATGGAATGTTCAACTACTAACCATAAGTGTTCCTATGAAATTAATTATTTGTTTCATTTATATCCCATTTTTCCCCAGTGGGGGGGGCAAAGTGGTCTACATCATTCTCCAGAGCCAGTTTGGTGTAGTGGTTAAGTGCGCGGACTCTAATCTGGGAGAACCGGGTTTGATTCCCCACTCCTCCACTTGCACCTGCTGATGTGACCTTGGGTCAGTCACAAGCCCTGGCACAGCTGTCCTTGAAAAAGAGCAGTTTGCGTCAGAGTTCTCTCAGCCCCACCCACCTCACAGGGTGTCTGTTGTGGGGAGGGAAAGGGAAAGGAGTTTGTAAGCCGCTCTGAGACTCCAAGTGAAGGGCGGGGTATATAAATCCAATCTCTTCTTCTTCTTCTCTTCCATTTTACCCTCACAACAATCCTGTGAGGTAGGATTAGGTTGAGAGTTTGTCACCCAGCAAGCCTCCGTGGTAGAGTGGGGGGTTTGAACAGGGGTCTCTCAGATCCGAGTGTGACACCCCAACTACTACAGTGCACTGACTCTCTTATGTGTCTTATGTTAGTTTTTTGGGGGGTGGGGTGGGCAGAGAGCTATTTTTTTATGGAGCTCTGTATCTTGCTGTAAACTACATACAGAAGAAGACCTCTGTCTTTGCGTTGTAAGTATGTTGGTTTGTAATAGCCTGAAGTAGAATGCCAGCACTATAAATGCTATGTGAATGGTCAAGATGGGTGGCCACTGGCAACTACTAGCCAGCCGTCTGTAGCAACAGAAAAGAGCAAGAGTCCAGTTGCACCTTAAAGACTAACAAAATTTGTGGCAGGGTATGAGATTTTGTGAGTCACTGCTGACTTCTTCAGAAGTGAGAATGCTGTGTGAATGCTGAATTTCCATTCTTAAACTTATGGCATTCTGTAGCATCAAAAGGGAACACATTATGCCATAATCCCAAACATTTTAAAAGATTCAAAGCTAGGGCTGATGAACTAAACCAAACAAAATTTTGTCATGAAATTTAATTTTGTGTGATTACCTTTTCCCTGTCATCTTTTAATGTGTTAATCACAAATGCCTACCACAGGGGTGTTGAACTCATTTGTTATGAGGGCCGGATCTGACATAAATGAGACCTTGTTGGGCCAGACCCTGTGTGTCATAAAATGTAATGCCAGGTAGTGGAGATATAAACTTTATAAAGGACTCAGACAAACACAAAGATATTTAAAACTTTAAATAAAATATGCTTAAAACACTAGCACTCTTGCAGTATTGTCTGTTTAACAGTCTCTGATAACTGACACCTCTGCTCTGAACTATTGCATCAAAATGTCTGTGCTGTAGCAATCTTGAGTATGTTGTATCTGTAAGCTGCAAACCTATTTTTGATTTATTGACATTCATTACAGAAATCTCAAGCTCAGTGTTCCTAGCCTAGGACCAAGGGGAAAACATGAAATGGCTGGGCATTGCAACCTTTTGTATATAAGTTGCTTCGTGAGAAGGCATCCTAACACAGACTGAGGGCCATGTGTTTGTCTACAAAACTATAGTCTTCCCCAGAGAAATAACTACAACTTCCTACAAAGGAAATGTGCTGGGTGAACTTGGTCTGGACACACACTCTCAGCCTTATCCACCTCACTGGCTTGTTCTTATTCCTCCTTTAAAATAGTTCACATTACTTTCTTACTGAGAAAGACTGGATCATGAGGGCATGAATACAGTGAAAAGGGGGAGGGAACCCATTTGCACCCAGAAGAGTACTGGCATAAGGAGCCCAATAAAGCGTGCGCGCACACACACAGCATAAGGAGCCCAACAGAATACACACACACTAAGCACACTAAAGCTCATACCTTGAGGGAGGAGCCTCAGCCAGTGGAAGGAAAGAAAGGCTTCCCTTTATCTCCTGCAGTGAAGCCAGGAAGCAAGCTCTGGCTGTTCCCTCCCTCCCCCTGGGAGGAGGAGGGAGAGGAGCCTCAGCCAGTTCTTTACCAGATACTCTCAATTGCACAGGAGAGGTTTGCCTATCTATCTCTCCTGTATGATTGAGAGAAACTGGTAAAGCAAGCTGTGACGTCACAGCAGCAAGAGAACTGGAAAAGGAAGTAGGGGCCTGATCCGTCCCACGGGCTGCATGTTTGACACCTGTGGCCTACCAGGTTTTACTACCAAATTAAAGTTTTGACAGTGCAGTTAATGTAATAGATTTGGGTACAGAACAAGGTGTAGGTGGCTCTGACTTAGCCGTGGAAATAAATTTTCCCTCACAATAGCAGCTTTGTGTTCTCACAGGTATAGAGTGGAGTTCAGGCAGTAGAGGAGCAAGTCCTGTGATCTCCCCCCCCCCCACCTAGAGACCGTATGCTCTAGTCTTTCTCTTGTTTGCTGCTGCTGGTTTTGCAGCTTCCTTCAGTTTCAGTCACTGTCTGTGCTTCAGAGTGTGCCTTGTGCTCCCCAGGAGCCCTGAAAACTCAAAAGTGCCGTTGAGTTAAAAGGAAGGCAGTTACTGTGTCTATTTCCCTAGCTGATGCAGCTGTTGGAGGGCAGGTCACACAATTCCTTCCAGAGCTGCAGGGTGAAGGGAAGAGCTGCCTTTTGTCAAGGGGAGGGGGGGAGTAGCAAATACCTAGTGACTGCTTGAGTCAAAGGAGATGGAGGCAAAGGTGTGTTTTTTAAAAAAATGTTGAAAAGTCTGTTTCTTAGGATGACTTTGTGAATTGGGTTTGCTACTTGTGTGTGTTAGCCTTCCAGCTCCCTTAGCAACAGAACGTTTAGTAATATTCGCTGCATGAATCAGGGCCATCAATTAATGGGTTTTCGGGACTTCCTCTCCATATAATTGGTTGTTACTAGCAGGGGCACAAAAACTCCCTACGTAACAGTCTTGATTCATGCGGTTTGTATTATAAAACTTTATGGCTGCAGGGTGGCAAACTTTAGCAGATGGAACATATCCCCCGCCTCTTTGTGATTTAAGTATCAAGTTGCTATGTGGATATTTTTTTCCTGTGCATTGCCTGTCAGCATCCTGTTTACAGGAGCCTACTGGAAAGTTTAAAAGGCTCTGAAGCAATCCAAGCTGAGCAGCCCCTGTGATGATAGAAGCCAGGACGGCAGGGGCCGCTTGACTTAGACCTGGCCACTAGTGCCAAGAATGGGCATTAGCTCACCCCATTGCCCCCTCTTGCAAACTGACACAATAGGAGAGGAATCAGTTGGTGAATTGATGCCAGTCATTACTGTGGTAGAAGTGGTCCCTGAGGCACTGAAAGTGTAGCTGGGGCTTGGCTCTGCTCGCCCCGGTGGTCCACCAGGAAACTTGCCAAGAAGTTAACTGGTCATTTGCCCCTGTTGGTTTATATGGTACTGGGTTTATGCAAGTTACAGGGCTTACTTTAGCAAGGAAGTAAAAACATAAAAGCTCAAATTTATCAGTTCTTTCCCAGATAAAAAAAATAGTCACACTGGCTTCAACAGGAATGTAATAGGACTACTCTGGACTAAACTGTGAAAAAAAGTTGTGCAAACTACTTTTTTGGCTAATAGGTGTTTTAAGGCCACTCTGGTAGCTGATCTATTAAAGGATAGTTTCCTTTCATGTGCAGGTTTCTATCTGTATCTGGAAGGATTAGAGAGTTTTCAAGGCTTCCTTGCAAAAGTTTACCACCTCTTGTCACCTTCGCTTCTTTGAAACAGCAGCTGATAAATGAAGCAGAGCAGAAAGACTGTAGCCTTTTTTTGGTCCTTGGAGGCCTAAGACAGACTGTGGCTATTAGCATAAATGTCTGATGTGAATAAAGAAACAATTTTTTTCCAGATTCAGCTTTTGTCACTAAAAGTGGGGTTTTTTTGCTTCATTCTTCATTGTCTTACAGTTAATCTTTCTTCTTATGAGCCTTATAACTGGACAAAATTGTGATAATTCAGTTGTTTCTAATTTTTGACTTGAGGCTAGATCTGCACCTGGTGCAGAATGAGGAGATAGAAATGGACTATGTCACTCTGTGGCAAATGGGGTGATATTAGTTTTCAGAGTACCACTAAACTTTCCCCTCTGCAAGTAAAATACTGTATTAGCCAAACAGATTGAGAGCTAGCTAGGATACATTTTCCCTGCTTGCTAGTTTGATTCTGGCATGAAAGTTTTTAGGTGACGACAGAATGTTTAGAAGTTATATTGCGGCCTGCAGTCTGAAGTGGTACAGTCCACACTACATGCATTCTGCTGCATGTACAGACTAGGCTTGAATTACTTGTTTTATTTCTGGACTAATGGGTTTTCTGCTAACCTGTAGTTAGACAGAACAAGTGAGGAACTTGCTAGGGCTCACAAGGGAGGGGAAATGCCACACCCCACTTCCTCCCCTCCTCCTCTGTCCCACAACCTACCACCCCCATCCTCCCCTTCCCCAGCCCTCTGACAGCCCCAAGTCACCCCCACAAAGACCCCAGTGGCCAGATGATTGCGGGGCTGCGTCTCCTCCTGCTAGTTCCCATGCTCTCTCACCTTCCCCACTCCTGACGCTCTTGCCTCGTGGTGGGGGCTAAGTAACATCAGCCATAGCAATTGAAAATGCCATCTGAGCATTTAGTGTTTTCCCCCTCTCACCACCTCTATG